GTTGGTCTTGGAATCAAAGGTAGAAGAGGTAGAAAGGGAGGTAGGAGAAGTTGGCACACTTAGTATATATATCATTATTTCTGATTTTTTTCTTTTTCATTTTCAAAATAAATGTTTCTATACATCATCTTCTGCCATTTGCTTTACGTTTCAGTGCTTGTATCCTAGATGGGTCCATGTGGTAAAAGAAGTCAAAAGTGGTCTTGAATAGCCAGAACCCTCTTCCAGATAGTTTACTGTCAACTAGTTCTTTGGCACTGCTGTTTCTACATTTTCTTCCTTATTGTCTGGCCCTGGTATGGAAGCACTTGTCTCCCATCGAGTTGTCTTCTGTTAATTCCTCTGGTGTGTGGTGTCTGTTAGCTCTTGATCCATATATTGAAAGATCCATGGATCTTCTTCAAGATCCATACATTGAAACCCTTCCCCACCACCACCACTCCCCCCCCCGCCCCCATTTACTGTCTCTTTTCTGATTACTGTGATCAGCTCTATTGTAAATTCTGTAAAGTCATGCACAACATCTGGACACGGTTTTCTCCAGCAGGAATATATTATTTGGGAATTGTATGGCTTTCACAGCTTTTTCTGTAACAACAATGGCATCTTCGATGGTGGAATCCTCCCAGATTTTCATGATACTCTTTCTTTTGGGGTTCTCATAGTATTAACAATCCTTTCTATAGTTTACTATGTTTAATGACCCCCTGATCTAGAGGCTGAATTAAAGACTTTGTGTTTTGGGGGCAGATAGACTACTTGAGTGCCTTCGCTGCAGAATTCATCAGGTTCTGGGTAGCTAAGGGATTGGAGGCAGTCCGTTACTGGCAAGGTACTTCCTGACTTCAGGGACGAAGCACTGATGGGACCAATCCAAATAAAGCATTCCTCTTGTTCAGGCCTTCTTGTACAACCAAGACTGACAGCTGGTGTTTTTTTTTTCCCTTCAGGGGTGGGGGTAGAAGTTAACTTTATAGGTAATCGCAGTCCTGATTATAAACCCAACTGTATTTGCATGAAGCAGTAGTGTTAGACTATCTTGTCCTCCCCTAAATCCTGGTGTTTGCTTCTCTTCCTTGCTAATAAATGTCATTTGTGGCTTTCCATCCCCACCCCATCCCTAGAGTAGGACACTTTTATTGCATTAAAAAACTTATTCAGGCAGATAATCTTTCTCCTCTGTGATTTTCTTAATGGCGTCTGGGAACTTGTCTGCTGCATCCTAGTTGGAAGAAGCTGCTTTTCCTGATATGTTTTAGCCAAACTGCTTTATAAAATTATCAGATCATCTTTTGCCTGCATTAAATTCTCCAGCTTTAAGGGTTTTTTTTAAATGTTTTATTTATTTCTGAGAGAGAGAAAAAGAGACAGGATGAGCAGGGGAGGGTCAGAGAGAGAGGGAGGTACAGAATCTAAAACAGGCTCTAGGCTCTGAGCTAACTGTCAGCACAGAGCCCAAGGCGGGGCTCGAACCCACGAACCGTGAGATCATGACCTGAGGTGAAGTCAGCCACTCGACCAACTGAGCCACCCAGGCGCCCCTAAATTCTCCAGCTTTAGCTCCTTCACCTTTTGCTTTAATTTGTCATATAATCACTTCACCTTTTTAACCTTATCAGATTCCATAAACACACAAAAGCTGCATTTTCAATATGATATTAAAAGGTTTTGCACAAAAAGTACAAGGTTTTTGCACCTGCGAATGTAGCTGCAGTGACAGCTTCACAGATTTCCTTTTTTTTTAAACATTGGTCTTTACATTGGATTCATTTGTCTTGAACTGGCAGGCAGCGCTGTTGCAGCTCTGAGTCTATGGTATATATCAAGCAGTTCACCTTTTTCTTGTAACGTCATGACTTTTCTCTGCTTGTGAGCACTTCAGCATCACTAGTGGCACTTCGTTTGGGTCCTGTGGTGTTATTCAAGGCTTACAGTATTGAACTAAACATGATGAAAAATACACAACTAGGAGAGATCACTTTTTCCTCCAGTACCCAATTCGCTTGAGAGACGAACTGCTCCTGCAGAGACGACTAGCATCACAGCGTTTTAAGTGGATACTCTCAACACAGGAGCCCCCACCCACCCACCCCCAGTCACAGTGGGAGATACGGGAATCACAGTAGTACGGCACGTACTGCCGTTCTTATGCAGTTATGATTTAATATGTCGTCTTTACGTTCACATTTCTCTCTGCCAGTGGTGCCGTTTAAGGTCTGTGAGTATGTACTTAAGTTTTGATGAATTTTAGCTTTTTATATAATAGGTTTGCATATATTTTATGTAACAAATGACAAAGTAAACTAGTATCTACAAATATTTTATGCATTAATGACACCTTTTTTGTAATTTTTAAAAATATTTTTAGACTATGTGGTTTATCTGCAAATTTTTTTCAAATTGTTGCAAATCTCCAAACTTTGCAGTATATTTATTGGAAAAAATCCTTATATAAGTGGACCCATGCAGTTTAAACCCATTCAAAGACCAATTGTACTCAGCTTGTTTTGAAAAGTCTTTAGATGTCTAGCCTTTAAATGGAACTGCTGAGGCAAAATGGACCACTTTTTTGGGTCTTTCCCACAGTTTTGAGCCAAAACCTCATTAAGACCAGTGGATAACCAACATGTCTGTGTTGGCTTTTCAGCTTAGCAGCCCAGCTTATTTGAAGAATAGCCTCTTAATATTTAATTCCATAACTGGCCACAGTCTCAAGTAATACTTTTGCCTTACTTAAAGTCTAAAAAAGATGGGGCACCTGGCTGGCTCAGTGAGTAGAGCATGTGATTTTGATCTCAGGGTCATGAGTTCAAGCCCCACATTGCTTATAGAGGTTACTTTTAAAAAGTTTAAAGAATTAGGCGCGCCTGGGTGGCTTAGTCGGTTAAGTGTCCGACTTTCGCTTAGGTCATGATCTCGCGGTTCGTGGGTTCGGGCCCCGCGTCTGGCTCTGTGCTGACTGCCAGCTCAGAGCCTGGAGCCTGTTTCAGTCTGTGGCTCCCTCTCTCTCCGACCCTCCCCTGCTCACTCTGTCTCTCTCTCTCCTAGAAATAAATAAAACATTAAAAAAAAAATTAAAAAAAAAAAAGTTTAAAGAATTAAAGAAGTTAAGTGATGATATAATTGCTCCAGCTTTATTTTGGCTACTGTTTGCCCGGCATATCTTTTTCTATCCTTTAACTTCCAACTTTCTAAGTTCTTTGAGTTTGGAGATATCCCTTGTAATCAACATGTAGTTGGATTTTGATTTTCTGGCTGTTTTTTAGTACATCTATATTTCTTTCTTTCTTTTTTTTTTTTTTAATGTTTATTTTGAGGGAGAGAGAGAGAGATTCCCAAGAAGGCTCTGTGCTGTCAGCATGGAACCCGACACAGGACTCACACTCACAAACCCTGAGATCATTACCTTAACCAAAGTCAGATGCTTAACTGACAGAGCCACCCAGGCGTTCCATTTTATATTTTTAAACATTTTATAACTGCTTTATACTCTATGATAGACTGTTCCAGTATCTGAGATTTTAGGTACTTAAATTTATTGTGTATTTCCTATGACTCTCACTGTTAGGTAGATTTTTTTTTTTAATAGTTTATTGTCCAGTTAGATAGATTTACTTTCTTTTTGTAATCTTTTATTATAACCCCCATTTTGTTGATCTTAATCTAAAAAGATGTTAAAGAGCCAAAATTGAGGATGCTTTCTGAAAGGATTTTTTGTAAGTTTATTTATTTTGAGAGAGACAGAGATAGTGTGAGCAGGGCAGGGGCAGAGAGAGGAGGGGAGCACACTGTCACTGCGGAGCCCAGTGTGGAGTTGGCAGTCATGAAACCGGGAGATCAGGACCTGAGCCAAAACCGAGTCAGATGCTTAACCTATTGAGCCACCCAGGTGCTCCACCAAGAGGATCTTTTATTCCCTCTGCCAAGATGCAGAAGTCTTCAGTACTCTCCAACCCAGTCACAGGTTCTTTCATTTATTAATGAAGCTTCTTTGGTCTAGCTCCCCCATCTTGCTCCAACCCCAAATTCCTGTGTCACCCACATATCCTAAGGAGAGCCCTTGCCCATCACAGCCCTGATATCAGTTTCAGATATTTGATTTGTTTTGTTTTGTTTTCTGTTGCCCCTTTTGAGGATATTTCTATGGTTCCCTACAATGCAGTAAAAATTGTGTTTTTTATTTCTGGTTGGTTGGGGAGTTTTTTAGCTAGGGGTAGGAGTAGGGGATGCCACCATAATGCCAAAAGGCAAAGTAAAATTAAAAAGTCTTTTTTGGGGTACCTGGGTGGTTCAGTCAGTTAAGCATCTGGACTTCAGCTTAGGTCATGATCTTGCATTTCGTGGGTTCGAGCTCTGCATTGGTTCTATGCTAACAGCTCAGAGCCTGGAGCCTGCTTCAGATTCTGAGTCTCCCTCCCTCTCTCTCTCTCTGCTCCTGCCTCGCTTGTGCTCTATCTGTGTCTGTCTCTCTCTCTCTCTCAAAAATAAAAAAACAAATATTTTAAAAAATCTTTTTAATTGTTTTTTATTTCTGGTTGTTTGGGGTTTCTTTTTAGCCAAGGATAGGAGTAGGGGATGCCACCTTAATGCCAAAAGGCAAAGTAAAATTAAACTCTTTTTTGGGGGGCCACTGAGGTGGCTCAGTCACTTAAGTGTCTGGCTTCAGCTCAGGTCATGATCTCATGGTTCCTAAGTTTGAGCCCCACATCGGGCTCTGGGTTGACAGAGCTCGGAGCCTGGAGCCTGCTTTGGATCCTCTTTCTTCCTCTTTCTCTGTCCCTCCCCTGCTCACACTGTCTTTCTTTCTTAAAAATAAACAAACATTAAACTCTTTTTGAATATTTATTTGAAAACAACTATTAGTACATACAGATTACCCCACCTAATTGCCACTTGTGTTCCATCTAGCTTTTACTAGTACCACTAAATAAGCCTCTTTATAACATTCACTTAAAATTCTACTAAGTTCATTTTTTGTTTGTATTTTGTGGTTCTTATAGGATTATGTTGACAAAGAGAAGGCCATTGCCAAAGCATTGGAAGACCTCAGAGCCAACTTTTACTGTGAACTCTGTGATAAGCAATATCAGAAACATCAGGAATTTGACAACCATATCAACTCCTATGATCATGCACACAAGCAGGTGAGAAACAGTTGTTTGCTAACAAAAAGATACATTATTTGTTGTTAAAAACTATTGAATTTTATAAATGTACCCCCCAAAACTTGGTGACTTTGGTTTCTTATATCTGCCAGTCTTTATCCGAAGTCCATCTGACTTACTTTTTTTTCAGTGACAAGTCCTGACGTAGACCTCCCCCTTCCAAGAATTTATGTAGAGAAGAATTGTGAGCTTCATAAATCTTGCATAAAGTTTTTGGCTTTGAGTGGTTTCTGAATTTGTATTTAATTTGGTAGTTCAACTGAGGATCACTAGGAGTTTTGTTTCACTTTCTCACTCTTTGTGAATATGTTAAACTTTGAATAGTTATCCCAGACTGTGGTTGCTTCGTCTTCTATATATAGGAGTTCATGCTTTAATGGCTACTATTTCCCATCGGTAAGTCATTTTGTTATTGGTGTACCTTGGAAAGTAGATAAATCTTGAGAAGGAAAAAGAATTAGATGCTGTCTTAACTTTAACAAAACTTCTGATGCTGCATGTTGAAGAGCTTGCTAAAAAGTGAATTATACTTTCTTTGCAGTCTTTTTTGCTTTCACTAACTTAGAAAATAAAACTGTACCTAACTAGATACTGGCATAAAGAAGGTGTCCAGGGGGGATTTTAGAAGGAGGAAATGGATCTTTAAATCTATAGAACAGTCCTGGCTTATTGAATAATTTTGAACCATTTGATGTTGGAGGATTTTAGCAGAACTTACTAGATCTTTGAAGGCATAGTAGTTGTATTTGTTGAACTTGTAAGATTTATGAGCATTGCTGGAATGCTCTTTTAAGTGGATCTGTTGAGCCAGCATTATTTTTAATTAATTAATTTATTTATTTATTTTACCTTTGTGTCATCTTTCAGCCAACCCTAAGATTTTCAGTGCACAGGTAAAGAGCAAGCTTTAAGCTTTACTAGCACAAGGATAGTTTGTAAATTGTTATACTTTCTGCAACAACCTCTTTCACAGTTAACCACACCTAACCAATTTAAGCTTCTTCCACTGAAAGAATTGTATTCAAGACAGCATTTGAACTTGTGATATACCTTTGGACATTGTGTATTATCAGGTCTGCTTAATTTGAAGAAGGAGACATTTAGAGAGGATATATGGACAAGATATATACTGGCAGTTACCTCACTTTTTCAAAGAAGCATCTGTCAATAATGTTAACAGTAAATACTGCTTACCCAGTAATTTTTCTAGTTTCTCAGTATATATATAATTCAAATTTGGGAGTTATTTTTTATGGAATTAAGAAAGACTTGTACCATCTAAACACATAACCACCTTTTTTGGGCTCTGAGAATTTCTTCAATTAAGAATTGTCTGTGGGGGGACAAAATTGTCCGTGATAGGACACCTGGCCAGCTCAGTTGGTCGAACATGTGACCCTTGATCTCAGGGTGGCGAGTTCAGGCCCCATGTTGAGCTTAGAGCATACTTTAAAAAATAAAAATAAAAAGAGTCGCCTTTGATAGATTAGGACTCCAGGAGAAACTTTAGGCACCAAAAGGACATTTAGAAAGATTACAGTTTTAGTCGATAAGTCTCTTGAGTAAAGTTCGTGTTAGAAAAATTTACCAGGAAAAGTGTAATTGAGACTTGAGCAATGTTTAGACTGCCTGTTAAGGGGGAAAAAAGTTTTATCCAAGCAACAGATTTACAAATCAAATCTGAGCAGAAATGCAGAACTAGTGAAATTCACATTGGCAACATTAATACTATGGATGATGTTTTAGTTATGTTGCCTTCAACTTGAGCCTGGTAGTAATTTTTACAGCTCTGGTTCATTTGAATTTGACATGTTTGTTCTCCTGTGCACCTTGGGATGACTCCGTTCTCTCTCTATGTTTCTCTATTGCAGTGGTTTTCCACATGGGGAGTTTTGTCCTCCAGGGAACACTTAGCATTGTTGATTACCACAGTTAGGAGGATGGTGCTACTGGCATGTAGCGGGTAGAGGCCAGGAGTGCTTCTAAATAGCCTGCAATGCACAGGAAAGCTCCTTGGAACCAAGAATACCTGGCCCAAGCTGTCATGTGCTGAGATTGAAAACCCCTGTTATACTAGGACTGGTGAAAACCTTTGAAATATATATGATATTGCGATACCATATGGCCTTTCCTTGATACAAACCACTGTCATTTTAAGTCCCCAGTTGTTATAAACATTTGTAAAGTGCTCATCTAGATGATGCCAAGTACTCATTTTTTTTTTTTAGATTATCATCAAAATGAAAGTACAAAATTAAGGATTTCTTATAAGGAACTCATGGACTACTTTCCATTAATATAGAAAAATGTCTGCGATCCTTGGTCTGGGAAGAAATCTTTAGCTGGTATGATTAATGAATGTATGTGAGCCTGTTTCTTCACCATGATCAAAAGCCCATCTTAGGTATTAAAAAAAGAATGGCTATAGTATGAGTCTGTTTTGTTTGTTTTTGGTGGAATGTTCTGTTATTTGGTGGAAATATAGGCTTTTTCATCTTTCTTTTTTTTTCATCTTTATACTGCTCTCTTAGTGCAAATAATAGAATCTTAAAGCAGTGCTATAAATACAGAAACAAAAAAAATGCACAGCACAAAATTTTTTATAGTTCTACTCTTCCCTTTACTTAGAATTTCTAAGGAGCCTTTAATTGCCCTTGGTGTACAACACAGCTAAAAAACCCCTAAGAGGAGGTAGGTCCTGTTTTTCATTCCTCTTTGATGGACATGAACTTACCATACAAATGGACCTACCATTTTCCAAATTCATGCTCTAAAATCATAAAGACACCCTGTCTTGTCTTCCAGGAAGGCACACAGGATTATTATGAATCTGAGATAATAGGTAAGTACATTCAACCCCTATATTAGTAATCCCTAGTTTGCATCTTCCATCAAATTTTTACCATTAAAAATTTCCAGAGAAATAATCTATCCTGTTAGTGGTAAAACTAGTAGTATAGACAGAATTCTGAACACACCCCTATCTTTTTTAAGCACAAATAATCTCTCAAAAAAGGGCTATGTGGTCACCCACATTTTGTGGTGATTTGGGGGGGGGTTGTTATTATGTGCCTCTCCATGTTCACTAGTTTTTCTCAGAATTTCTAACATTTTTGTGAACAAAGTCACCAACTTGCAAATATGAAGATCCAACTTTTTCAAAGATGAAAAAGCTAATTAGACACTTTGGCTCTTTTCAGCAGTTTAACCCTCATTTTAAGGTGATAATTTCAATACATTTTGAAGGATAGTCCTTTCCATTCCTCGAAAACGAGCCCAATCTGATTCCTTTTTATGGAGGTTATGCCTCAGAGCTTAATAAACATTAGTATCCATCTTCTGTCCCTCTTCGTTTAATTATAGTACAGTTAAGTTTACTTTGAAACTAAACATTTTCCCATCTCTTCCTCTTTGCATCTTTGATTATTTTGCATAGCTAAAAACATGTCTACTAGTGGATATGACCATGGAAACCATTTTCTTCAGCTTTTCAGAGGGCCTAAATTTCAAACTACAAAGAACATTCTTTCCCAGAAGTAAATTTGCAGCAACACAATATAACAGTACCTTATTTTAACACTATTTTTTGTTGTTATTGTTTTGCTTTCTTTGGTGCCTTGTTACTTGGTCAGGATTCTCCCAGTCGTACTGTCTTTTATTTGTGCCAGTAAGCTCTCCAATACATAAACCAGAGTTCACAAATTATCCCACAGATGTATTTTGACTGTAGTGTTAGATTTTTCCTATTTAATTTTGGTTGGTTCTCAGTCTTTTAAAAATGAGATTTTATATAATTCAGGCTTTGTCTTCTCTTGAAAAATTAAAATATCTCAGAACATTGGGCCTACATTTCAACATAACCAATTGGCTAAAGCTGAACAGTTGCTATCTCTTTAGAAAGTCACACACTCACTCTTCAATTAGCAGTGGTTTCCACTTTATCTTGTCTCTTACATCAACGTGTGTGACTCACTATATTAACTGCCAGATCCTTCTAAACATTTGAGTTTGTGACCCAGACCCATACCTTCCTTTTGTCTCCACGCACAGGGTTCTGACTGACAGTGGAGAAGCAGCACATTGAAAAGCTGCCTCCTTATTCATCTTTAAGTGTTGAGTCCAGCTTCTTTGCAGTTTCAAAACCATCTGCAGTAGTTACATCCAATTTATCAAAATCTGGTACTATAAATTAGCAGCTTTGAGAAATTCTTTTTAGCAAGAATCAATGTCTTGGTCAGAGGAAAGAATGCTTTCAGCCTGCCCCTTCTTTCTGCTATAAAATAGCTTCAGTGTGAGAACCCCTTTTATGTTTATTGAAAAGACTGAAGTTTCATTTAATACCAAGGTCTGTCTCAACGGTAAAAATAGTGGTTTTATGAGCTTTAAATAGCTGACCTAAAAGAGATTAAGCCTGTAGCACCCCTCGATGACTGCTCTATTCTGAATTGTACACAGTGTGTTCTGTGCCCGTGTAATTTAGTTAACTCTGTCTAAACTATTACAGTTTGGCAGTATTGTTTACTTCTGGTTGACTATTATATATCTGGTAATACAGATTACCAAGGAACAGCAAGTTTAGTTTTCCTTATGACTCAGAAATGAAATAGGTTCTGTCTTGAAGTATTTTCTGAGAAATTCCTTGGTGATGGAGGAAATGATCATCTTTGGACTTCACAAGGGCTTCATTCAGGTTGGGGGTGTCCACTCTCCACTTGGAGTCACACTGCTTACTGTCTGCAGTGTTGTCCCTCAAGATAGTATTTGTTTCTCTGTGTGTTTGGCACACGGGGCATCAGGACAGTAAGCACATTAAAACCAGTTGGACCTCTGGCAAGCCTACAGATTTGAGGAGCTTCAGACTGGGCTCCCTTTCTTCAGTGCTACTTTGATACTTCAGTGCAAGGGAAACAAAAAACTAAATTTTTAAAAGGCAATAAAAAGTAAAATAGGGGAGAAATAATTTTAGGGCTAAAATATAA